AACTCGTAGCCAACATACTAGGTTCCCCCTTGTCTCGAGTTCCACAACAGTAATCTCAACCGTGGATTTGAACCTTGTCGTTTGTGCTCTCTTACGAGCAAGTAGTTTATGCTTAATCAGCTACGATAACAAAAAGGCATGATACACTAACAAGTTCAGTGTCTAGATGACAATATCTCAGCAACTATGGGAATATTACATCACTTACCCAATTAGTTCCTTCAAGCTGGCAATAGAAAGAGGTTGATGTGTATCCGGCAACGCCAGAAGTGAGTGCATATATAACCAGCAGGGCAGTGAATAGAGCTCCTCTATTGTAAGGATAAAACACCCCGACAAGCGCCATCATGAATATAAAAATTGTCCTGTACAAGATAAACAATATACAATAATGCAAATGTTTCTTGTATTAGACTTAAATTTATCAGAACAACAGATTTCAGAGGACACTAACAATGTAAAGAGCTGAGCACCACAACCGAGTGCTGCAGCAAACAATGACTTGTGTTTCGGGAACCTAAAGACATCACCGTGTATGTACTTCCATCCCGTCTCCTCTTGATCATTAACTGCTTCTTCATCATGTGCATACCTTTTGCATACATTGTCAATTGAAAGAGTCACTTCTCGAGAAAGTCAGACCTCTCTATAACAGTCATATTTCACTATAACGGACAAGTTTTCTTTGGAACCATTGTTTTACTATATGTTATATGTAACACTATTTCGTTGTAGCAGCCAAAAAGTATCAGGACAAATATAGAGAGAGTTTTGACTCTTTGAAAAGGAGGGATAAACCACTTACTTTATAAAATCATTCTTAAGGACTCGCATAAGAATCGTGGCAAGGAAGCTGGTTAAAAGGAGGACAGTGACACAAGAATTGATAATCGAGAACCAATGGATCTCCAAGATATGCGGTAGAGAAGTCTGCATGAACTTATCCATTCGATTCTCAAACAGAATATCTGTTCCCTTCCATTTCGCGGTGTATGTGAACTCAGCATCGACTTCCCTATCTTCTGTCAGGTCCAAAACAGAATATGGATCCATTCGTGCAGTGATTTCAATAACACGGTCCATGTTATAGTGGATATCGAAATGTATGTGTTTGTATAGCAAGTACTTGTAATATTTTGTATCCTCTGTCTCTTCCCTATTCTCAACTCTTCCGATAAGGCCCCATACGGGCAATTCATCGTAGTACATCTCAAAGTAATAGTCCTTATCAACAGCTCTTCGAAACTGAGCAACTTCATCCTTTGTTAACTTCTTTCGACAAAGCATTTCCGAGTCTTTATCTACCAAGAAATCGAGTTCATAAGGACCACTCACGAGTTCATCCCCGTTTAAAACCTCACCTAGATCTTCCTTCTTTTCTTCTAATTTCACATGATCTGCATATGAACTCAAGTAACATAAGATTTCAAGTGTTCCAACATACATCTATCAAAATTTGTGATACGAATCGCGACTATAGTCTAACCTCATAGGCGAATACAGTATTTGAAATTTATGAGTTCTTACAACATACATTAAGTTCATACAAAATAAGAACTGAGTTCATAGTCATATATTTATTTAATAAGCTTCATATACAGGGTTCGACAAAAGCTATTGAATTCACGTGCTTCACATAAATACAATGAGAGAAAAGTTGTAGAATGAACCTGGTATGCAGAATGGCAGATCATAATATCTGTATGATTCACTGTAAAACAAGAAAACAAGATTGTCATTAGAAAATCATAAAATTTGTTTTACATATTCAAAAAAGGCACAACACAATATGTTGTTCAGACTCTTCAAAAATGTCAACAGGTATGTGTCAGATTCTCCAGAAATAGTGTATTTTTGGAGTTTCCGACACAGATGTTTGAATTGAAAGTGAAGAGTACATGCAACTTAGAAACTTGGTATACTAAGTATTATCATGTATTCACCAGTGACAGAGCTATAAATTTATATAAAGGGATTCGAAAAAATACTAAAATGCCATAATTGAAATTTTACTTATTGTGACATAAACCTAAAGCAAATTCAGCAGTTTATATATAATAATACTTCCTTTGTCCTAATTTACATGATAGTGTTTGAATTTCGCTATAAATTAGAACTAAGGGAGTAACAAATAAATAAAATAAAATTATGTTTACCAATCTAGACAGTATAATTTTTCGACGAATGAGATTCAAATTAAACCTCTTTTTTCTTTCTTACAAGCTCCGCCCCTAACCGTTCACGCAGAATTCGAGGAAGGGTGAAATGTTGCAAAAAAAAAAATGTACCTGGGATTGTGAAAAGGGCCAATCTTATTAGCAAAAAGAGGAACATGATCTCCTTGTTTATAGAAATGATCATCAAAGGCATTGTAATCTTGGATAATAAAAATACGAAAAATAATTAAAAGGATTAGCATGCAAATTGACAAAATAACATGCACTTTCTTCATCAAGGAATTTAATTAATTAACCAATCAAGATGAAGGTTAACTTAATTAATTAATTCTTGAGAAATACAAAGAAGAAATTAAGTGAAGAAGAAGATTATTTTTTTTTGGTAAAAAAGAAGAAAATTATTGAACGTGTGCATGATGGTTTATTAGTTTGTGATTTATCTTATACATATAATAAATGTCCTTTGTTAATTTGTCTGTTAATAGAAGTTTTCAATGTTATCTTTTGTTTCAAATATATCCTAAAACAATTAAAAAAGGTTCAAATAAACTCCTCGCTTGTTGTTGTTTTTTTAAATGGTGCGATAAAAAGATTGAAAGTATTAATTGAAAATGTCTCTTAGTATTTTATTAAGCATAGAGGGAACGGAAAAAAAATCTACATAATTAAAATTTCAAAAAGAAGACAAAAGAAAAGTAAACTATTCTAACAAACTAATCAAAATCTAATAGAAATTTAAAATATAAGTTCATTCTAAAACCAGTAACTTATTATGCTAAAGAAATGACTGCAGTAACTAAAATAAATTTCAATATTTCCATCGAAAAATGTTCAATGGTTATTCTCAATATTTCAACGCAAATTTGTTTCTCGTCATGCGTTTTTCAGTGAAAATAGGATGTGAAATTAATCATATGTATAACACAAATTTTTATTGATTTACAATTGAAAAAATCTTTATTTCTAGTAGTGTTGGACCTTTTTAATTAGTTAAAGGGTACATTTGAAACTTTTCAATTACTTGGGGCATGCTTCAAATTATTACAATATTTGTTGAGAATATACTCTCCAACATGATTCCAAATATGGTGAATAAGTTGGTTATTTACATTCACCAATAATAGTAGGAAGTATTATCACTATTATTTAAGTTATAGGAAGTATATATTCTTTTTTACTCTAATGTTGTGACTTATTAGTGGTCCAATGCTTTTATTCTTATCTCTGTTTTTTTCTGTTAGAAGTGGCAATATTTTTGGTCTTTATGTTGTAACCGTTCACCAAATTGGGTGGAATGAGTAATTACAAAAAAAAAATAAAAATTGATATAATGTGCCTATCAAAATTTTTGATGAGATGAACAAGATTTCTCGAGTTTGAGTCCTTGGAATGCATTAAATTAATCCTAATAAGTAGCATTTTTTTTCATTTAATGAGTCTTGTTCTATGGAAATTCGAAGAGCAAATGACATAAATGGTCCCTAAACTATCCTAGTAGGTCTAAAATAGTCCCTTAATTATACAGTTGACGAATATGATCCTTTAACTATCCACCCTTTTGTCAAGTTTGATTTCCATCCACTTTTTTAAAGAACCGTTAGTTAACACCGTTAAGTCAATCTGTCGGTATACAACCATCCAAACAAAGTGTAAATCCCAACGGAAAGAAGAATATGAGTTAATGATACTGATCTCTCCACGCCTCTGTTTCTTGCTTTTCTGTGAGGATAAGACAATTAAGAAGAAGAACCAAAACGAAAGATTGAGACAAATAAAGCACCAAATTCGATTGAATCCATGGCGATGGGAAGTGGGTTTAACCAAGAAACTAGAACTGGAGCATTTTTGATGGCCACACTGCTCATTTGGGTTTTCTCAATTTTGTGGGAAATACTAATTAATAAGCGCAAGGAACTGTTCCCAATCGTTCCGGGTTTCATTTTCTACCAATCGGCCAATTGGGTCATCCCCAAATTGCTGCGAAATTGCGATCCCCTATTTGTCAACACTTGTGTATCTCTCCTCCATTCATCCACTACATCTGCTTCAGTGCTCTTCATTTTGGTCAATCAGTCGATGATTTCAAATGGGTAAATGTAAATTAGATGTTTGAACATTCACAACGTGTTGAACATACATGGCAATGGGCATTTACAACTTTATGCTTTTCGTGTGGTTATTTTGCTTATGATCAATTGGATATGCTCCTAAATCGATTGACTTAACAGATTGACTTAACGGTGTTAACTAACCGTTTTTTAAAAAAGTGGATAGAAACCAAACTTGACAAAAGGGTGAATAGTTAAAGGATCATATCCGTCAACTGTATAGTTAAGAGACTATTTTAAACCTACTACGATAGTTTAGGGACCATTTATGTCATTTGCTCGAAATTCGAACACCAGTTTATGAAATGTTGATTAAGCAAAAAGTTTAAGAATTAAAAAAAATAACATTTAAAACTTTATATAAAACAAGCCATAAAGATTTATGTAGCTATAAACTGACACCAAGGATAAAATAACAAATTTGAAGTAACTAATAAAAAAAAGTCGCATAAATTGGGACACAATAAATACTAACTTTGCCAACACAAATTAAACTACACTTACATGCAAAAAAACAAAACAAAAAACTTTGTATTGTCAGTATAAGGACAGACTGATGCACTAAAAGGGTCGAACCAAAAGGGCGATCGTTTCCACAGCTTAAACCCGCAACCTCCTAATCACATGTCAGTATAATATGACTTGGATTCAAGTGAAAGTAGTACTCTACAACCTATACTTTGCTGCTTTTCCCTTTTGATTACAGTAGAGACTATATTTCTGATATCTGCAGAGCTTTGCATTAACAAAATATGTACATACATATCACAAATTCATCATAATAAAAAGTTTAGTTCCATATGATACAAAGTTTTGTGCTACTGTACTTCGAAAATACGCTACGAAATTTACTCATTTTTTACCAAGTACAGATTACCTAGCAGTAGCAGCACCTTCTTTAAACAGGATATTTGGCCGAAGCCAGGCTGGCTTGCCACCAACCTCACCATCCTTAGTACGATGATCCTTCGAGTCCTTCTTCAGCTTCGCATTAATGCATTTACCTACAGATACACCAAGCTTTGCTGCTGTAAGTAGGCTAAACGCAATAGAAAGTGGTCGAATACACCAGTGAAAATCCTCGAGGTGCTGATACTTTTTGATAATGCCAGGACATGTATCAAACGATACTTCGATCACCTCATCTGGATCAGCCAAGAAAGTATTAGGTTCATCACTGAATACCAACCTACCTGGAAATTGAACGACAAGACAACCATTTGGAAGTATCTGTGATATTCTCCCAGTAGCCCATCCTCCTCCCCATTTCTTAGGCCATTCAAACCGGGGAGTTTCAACATTTGATTTCAATTGCACGAATTGTCCCAGTAAATATGGGTCAACTTTTTCGACTTCAGAAGAATGTCCTGTCCATAATGTTTCCAAGCCTAAAATACCAACAGTGATGCTTCCATCACGCTGCACGGAGTGTAAGATACCCACAGAGAAGTGATTCTTACTTTCATTGACCAAGCGCACCCAATCCCCAGTTGCCAAACCACATGTAACCCTCTCTATGGTTGATGCATTTACCCTAAGAGGGCTCCGTAAATTGGGGACTCGTACCAGAACAAATCCATCACGATCAGTATCTTTCTCGAGACCAACAACACTTCCTTCCAACACAGCCAAATCTTGAGAATTTCTGGAGTTGAACATCTTTCTGGAGCGAATAGTATCTCCCACTTGAAGAAGATCTTTTGAAAGGAACCATGTGGTAAAGCCACAGGTTTTGCTTTTGTCAGACAGAGTTCCTCCTATGTCGCTCCCCTCTCCTTCACTATAAACAGCATTCTTCGAGCTGCCAAAGGTGCAATAAAATTTATGAGAAGTTTACCGCGAAGACATATTCATTAATTCATATAAAAAAATCTAGCGCCAACCTCCTGGTTCATAAGTGATCTTTGTAGGCTGTCTATTCACATGAAAAGAGGAATTCACTAGTTAATCAAAGATTGCAAGTCAGGTTATTACCAGTGTTGCCAACAGCGCACATAAGCTTGAAGGAAGGCTCAAAACATGTTGAGCGCTTCACCTCGCTTAATGTCGCTCCAGCGTCGTCATCAAGGTTCTAAGGCATATTTTTCCTTGCCAATCAGCCTCTTCTGAAGAGGCGGACACTAAAGAATTGATATTTCATTTTATCATTAAAAAAGATTAGTTTCTTTGTTCATATATTTGTCATATATGCTTATAATTATTGGTCATGGACTAAACATATTATCTTTTTGCATTTTTTTCTCCCTTGGCACCTTTTTTCATTACAGCCTACACTTCATTTTTCCTTTGTGCTTAAAGCCCCAACGGACCTTAGTGTTTTTTTGCGTTTTTTGCTTTTGATAACACTGGATATTACATGTGACTAAATTGGCCTCGGTAGACAAAGGCAACTCAACAACCTTCTAACTAGGACATTTCTACGCTAATGAACTTATCCCTAATCATTTTCACTTCCATGTCATAGAGGGGAAATAAGGAATCAACTCCTAAGCAGTTCTTTACCAAATTATATGCATTTCTGGATAAGATCTTCACCAAATTTACACATGACCTATGCTGTAAATCAATTTTGGTTCCATACATAACAGTTCAATCCAAATTTACGTTGACCGTTCTACACACCAATTCACATTCAACGTGCATAATACTAATTTCTCCGATACTCAAAACTTACACAAAAGCAAACAATAGGCTTCATAATTAAAGTTACACCTCCACATTAAGTTACTACACATCAATCACCCAAAAGGCTAGAAATGCAAAAAAAATAAAAAAAATTGAGAGGGTTGCCCAATAGGATATGGGGCTCCAGGCTAAGACTAATAAAAAGATGTGGCAACAGGTCAAGGGAAATAGTCAGTGTGTTAGGAATCAGTAATCAAGTCGAAATAAGAAAGAAGAGAAATATTCAAACTCAAAGCTTTTGTGTCCTAATTTAAATAACATAAAAAACTGATGTAAGCAGGCGAGGGATAGATGAGCACTGCAATCATAATTCTGTCATAGAACAGAAGTGCTAGTTTTTTGGCAAGCTTAGAGGAGGACCAAAATTGCTTAGATGATACTTAAGGGACTATTTTTAACCTACTACAGAGATAAGGGGCCATTTTTATCATTTTCTCAGGTGGGGACGTACATATATATATATATATATATATATGAGAGAGAGACAGAGAGATTAGATGATACTTAAGGGACTATTTTGAACCTACTACAAAGATAAGGGACCATTTTTGTCATTTTCTGGGGTGGGGGATATATATATATATAGAGAGAGAGAGAGAGAAAGAGACAGAGACAGAGAGGGGAGAGAGAAAACCTTTCAAATGCTTGCAAAATGTCCACCATCAGAGGTCGATTGCGGAGATCATACTCAAAACAGCCATTGAGAACATTCTCAATAGCAGTGGGGAGGCCACCAGGAAGTTGTGGCTTTTCTTGGTTTATCACCACTGAACGGTAGATATCATGGACTGATTTACCAAACCAGGGCTGAACACCAGTCAACATCTCAATAATGCTGCATCCAAATCCCCAAGCATCAGTCTCACAAGTTATTGGGCCTCTAACCTCAGGTTCCCACTGTTCCGGAGCCATGTAATTCGGAGTTCCACGCCTTAATGCTAGATCTGAATCAGGCGGTTGAACTCCAAGAAGAAGAAACGGTATACCAAAGTCTCCGAGGAACACTTCATCATGTTCGTTCAGAAGAAAATTAGTTGGCTTAAGGTTCAGAACCAAGACATTCATTGAATGCAATTCTTGTATTACTTTAGCCAATTCAATACCATATCTGTAAGACATGAGCATTCTGTATTAACAAGTGCCAATTTCATAATGAGAACTTTTAGCTTGCTGATAATAATACTCCCTCTGTTTCAATTTGTTTGCCTTACTTCCCTTTTTTGTCCGTTTCAAAAAGAATGGCTCTTTTCTTTTACTCTTCTATTCTAACTTTCAACATATGTTTAAGACCGCAAAGATTAAAGGACATTTTGCTACATTCGACATATCTTTGGTTTAAGACCACAAGATTCAAAAGTCTCTATTACTTTCTTAAATTCCGTGTCAAGTAAGAATCAGACAAACAAACTGACACAGAGGGAGTTTAAGTTTATTACCTAAGCACATCAGGTAACTGAAGCTTCCCTCTTTTCAGACGAGCCATTTTATCACCAACTGACCCCTCATAGGATCTCATAACTATACAGATCTATCCACAGAAACATTATTCAGAAAGTAAGAACAATGAGAAAATGAAAAAAGGAGTCCCTTATATTTAAGATTAGATTAGTCCCTTAAGTATGCACTGAAGGGTTTTAGTACTTCAAGTCTGCTGCCAAAGATCAACAGTTTTAGTCTCCGTCAAATATTTACCAAATTCTTGTCTGACAGATTTGAAGGGAACTATGAAAAAAAAGGAAATTAGCAGGAACTCACATTTAGAGGAATAGATTTTGTAGTTTATGCTATTTATTATTCATTTTTAGAATCTGGTGCAACTTTTTTTTGAAAAGTCTGGTGCAACTTTTTGAGATGTAATTTCTGCTAAAATTTTATATTTTTAGTGTCTAGTGCAATTTCTAAGTTGCATATTTTAGGATTTGATAGGACTTTCTTCATGTTTATCGCAAAATCTTGTTTTACACTATTTCCATCAAATATAGCGAATATAAATTGTTAAATATCTGACAGAGACTAACAGTGTTAACTTTTGGCAAATTTAAAGGACAAAAATTGTTCAGTGCATACTTAAGGGACAATTTTAAACCTACCCTAAAAAATAAAGGACCATTTTTGTCATTTTCTTCAAGAACAATAAACAAATTGTAAAGCCCCATATAGAGCTAAGCAAAATTATGCAGACAGAATTTCACCTTTCCAGATATTACAGTGATACCATGCAGCCAACAAACACCTTGGATTTGTTTAGACTTCAACTTCACCCATAACTCCTTGAACTTACTTAAGAAAGCCTTTACCTGATCTTCATTTATAGGATGTAACCTTTTTACAGCTACTTCATGATGCTCATCATAATCAGTAGCTGATTGATGATGTGTGGCTGACCAAACATCACCAAAGTATCCACGCCCGATCCTATGTTTAAGTTTGATTGAAGCAGGATCAATGTACGAACCGGCTGGGGCAGGTGCAGCAACAACAGTTCTAAGATGATCAGGATCTCCTTCATAAAGCTCATAATCGAAAGAGGCTGCCAAAGGAGATCCTTTGATCTCTTTAGCCATTTTCTCAGCTTAGAAGGCAAAGACCAAAAAACAAAAAAGAGAATGAGATCAACACCCACAACTTGCATTGCATGTTACAGGAACTTCTACCAGTAAATAAAACTGAATTATTCAATTCCTCAAGCAACTTTTCTAACACAATGGAAATAGTGTTTCTTTTAGGAAGAACAGTTTAACCTATGATACTCTTTTTTTAAAGAAATGGTTCTTGGGCCTAACTCAACCCCAAAAGTTAGCTCAAAGGGAGGAGAATTGCCCAAAGCTTTATCCATTCATTCACCGATGTAGGACATTCCGTTCATCACCTTTTATATGCAGTAAAGTTCTAAATACATCATAAATATGTGATCCTGTTATTTTTGTAATTGACTCATCGAAATATATCATATAGAAGGAACAATAAAAAGAATATTGATGTGACTAGAAAGCTTTAAGCTTTTTACAGATAACTTTCAGTAGTAAAATAGTAATAAACAGTAGTTTCAATCTAAGACTAGACTTAGGCTCTACAGATTAATAAAGAGAGCTAGTAGTGGCATATTTCTTCTATAAACCATATATAATTTCAAAGTTCTAAGTTCAGCACGCCCATCGTCTTTTGACGCTCCTACATAGTGTCCCTGAGAACAGGTTATACGGAGGAAGTCATTTTGGAGATCAAATCCCAAAACTTTTTCCTGTCATTCTTTCACTGGTATAATGGAAGCCATGCACACTAATCTAGTTTGTGGGTCCAGAACTGCAGATAACATTAGTTTCCCAAAACCTTTGTGTTTTATTTAACCACATAAATGTAGTTTAGGTCTTCTTATAGGTTTTTGACAAAGTAGTTCTCCATGCTTGCTAAAGTAAACTGACTAGAAGACAATGCACAGGAAAGGAGAACAAAAGGTCTATATGTAGATGCCCTCAACACATTACCCAGCTACACTGGTCTAGTCACTAAATCTCTAAACTAAATAGGACACTATTCCATGAATTAGTAAAGAGAACTCAGAATCTCTATTATGTGGGGGGTATGGTACGATAGAAGACACCCATGTGATTTGTTGTGGGGATCCTACAGCGATAAATAGAAACCCCATTAACAAATGAAGATATATCAGGAAGCAAAGATTAGTTGAGATAGAAGAAGGATAACAGTTGAACTACCAAACATGTCCACTGTGAAAACCTTACCCATCTAAAGGGCACGTAGACCTTCTCACGAAGAGCTATAAAACAACCAAAAAATTAAATCAAACCTAATGTTTTCCTGAAATCTAGTTCAACTTCTCTCACTTGATAGATTTCCCCAAAGACATCCTTCTCTACCCCGCCACTAATCCAAGTCCCCCACTGAGGAGCCCAGAAGTGGTCAGTTCCCATGTCAACTACACAAACTAGTGGATGATTTCTGCCTCCCTTACTCTTTAAATGGCTACGCAATGGATTCCCTAGTGAGTCCTCTATTTAATATTTGACTAGTAGTCTAGTACACCTTCACACTTCCATATCAGTTACCATGTAGAATTGAACTGACCCTCCTCCTCCTCTATTTGAATCACTCATTCTTTCACGAGAATCAACAACAACAATATACTCGGTGTATTACAAGTGTGGTCGGGAGAGGGTAGGATGTACGCGACCTTACCTCTACCTTTGAAGGGTGGAGAGGTTGTTTCCGATAGATCCTCGACTCAAAAGAAATGTAGTTGATGCAAAGAAAAAGAGACAACAAAAATAGCAAATGTACAAAAACAAGTTTAGCAACAGATATTAGTACACATTGGGGGAAAAGGGGTCTTTCACAAGAATCAACAATTAGATAATCAAAAACCAAACCCACCCAACACATAGATATAGGACTGCCAAATCAGTAAATTATACATAAACCTTAGCATAAATACTAACTACTGCTTGTTCAAAGCTTACCTTTTTAATTTCAAACACAGCTAAAACACTTTTAGCAAAAGTTCAAAAACAAACACCATTCTTTCACAAGAATAAACAATTATAAAATCAAGAATCAAACCCACCCATCATATAGCACTGCCAAATCAGCAAACTATAGACATAAACCTTAACAAGTTGCTCCCACTCTCCAAAAATGTTGCCACACCCATGTCGGATCCTCCAAAAATGCACTATTTTTCAAGAATCCAACACGCACCCGACAACATTTTCAAAGAGTCCGAGCAACATAGCATATATACTAACTAGTGTTTGTTTAAAGTTGCCCCCTTTTTTAATTTCCAAACACAGCTAAAACACTTTCAGCAAAAATTGAAGAAGAAACACCATTCTTTCACAAGAATCAACAATTAGATAATCATCAATCAAACCCCCACCCATCATATAACACTGCAAAATCTACTAATTAGCGTTTATTTTAAAGTTGACCTTTTTTTCATTTCAATCACAGGTTACAGCTAAAAAAACACTTATAGGGAAAAATTGAACAAATAAAATTCTTTCACATGAATCAACAATTGGGAAATCAAGAATCGAAATACCCAATAAAGAAAAGCTGCTATATCATCAAATTATCAAGAACCCAGGTAAGAAATAGTACCAAATTACTAGGGAAAGAATAAAAACGCTTACTTGAATTGGTTAATTAAGAAAAATTAGTAGCTAATGACAACTTTTTTGAGCTTTGAGAAACGTGAACGGAGCTATCATAGAGTGCGTTAAGGAGTGGCAAAATGGAATACAACACAGAGGAAGCAAACAAGGCGGTGCTGTCATCGAACGGAGTGATAAATATTTTTTTATTTAATATAATATAATTTAATTTGATATCAAATGTAATAAAAAATTTTATTTTTTAAAAATTAACTAAAAGTGAAAATAATCATGTAAATTAAAATAGATAAGATAAGAAATTTTGATTCAAGTATTATATTAAAAAAATGTCTTTTTTTAGAGGTTATAAATATTGTATGTCCTCCTAAATAAAATTTAATTAACATTATTCCCTTTTTAATTTATTACTTACTAGTTACTACAAAACATAACTTTATTTTCATGAAAAAAAATGAATTTTATTGACTTTGTAAATTCTGAAAAAAATATGTTATTATCTCTACAGCAACAAAGTGAAAAACTTAAATTCCTTAAAGAAAAAAGATTACTTTATCAAATTTGTGCTTAATCAATATTCCAAAAGCATTTTTAGAGGGGAAAAAGAAGAACAAACAACACAATCTCACTTTATTCGGATCCTAACTATACGTGATCATATCAATTTAGAAAATTACTTCTTATATTATTATTTTTTTTCACTAAATTTATATATTTGTTTTCTTTAGATATATATACCTCAAATATATATTTACACGAAATTAATTATAATTTATTTAAAAAATACTATGCACAAACATGATTTATATGTATCTAAAATACACTCTATTACTCAACTTTTTCCTTTCTCGCTCGTCTCTGCCGTCACAATCATAGTGATTATTACTTACTTAAAAAAATACAAAAATTGAAGGAATCATAGTACACTAGACAACCAAAAATGATAGCATCTTGTACAGTGCCAAGTTCAATTATTTCTAAATTGATATGATCACGTATAGTCAACCTTGTCCCTCATTCAAACACTCTAAAATTCATTGAATTTGCCACTGATATTCGATTATTGTTTGTGAAGCGAATAATGGAGTTGTTAGTAGAAACGAGACCGTTTAGAGTAGTAGAAGAGTCAATTTCAGCTGAAAGTTCAGGTTCAGATCCTACAAATGCTGTCATTTTTGTTGGAATCAGTTTGTTATTGGGAATTGGCTGTAGACATTTTTTGAGGGGTACTAGAGTACCTTACTCTGTTGCTTTGCTTGTTCTTGGCATTGGACTTGGGGCTTTAGGTTTGTCAACTCTTCTTTCTTTATTGTTTTCTCTCTGTTATTATTATATTATTGTGCTTGTGCTTGTGCTTGTATAGAATGGTGAAAGATTGAGTTTTTAAGACACCCTTTTAAGCTCTTGTTTGATAGTAGATTTTGGTCTTTGACAAAATTGAGTTTTTGAAGTTGTGATTTTGTTGAATTTGAAGTTTTGTGGGCGGAAGTTCGAAAAATCCAAAAAAAGGGGATAAGACTGATTTGAGCTGGTTTTTGGGAACTTGAACATATTTGAAGATTAGAGATTTAAAAAATATGATCAAATTTCATAGACGAATAGATATTTGGAAATAAATTTATAAAGCTTATGGTCAAACGCTAGCTTAGTTTCCTTGCAAAATATTATGCATAGCTTTATTATGGAGAAAGATTGAGCTTTTAAGACACCCTTTTAAGCTCTCGTTTGATTGTAGATTTTGAACTTTGAAAATTTGGGAATTTGAAGTTTTGTGAGTGGAAGTACCAAAGATCCAAAAATGGGTTGGTTTGAGCTGTTTTTTGGTAACTTGAACATATTTAAAGATCAGATTTTAAAAATATGATCAAATTTCATAGACGAATAAATATTTGAAAATAAATTAATTTATAAAGCCTATGGTCAAATGCTATCTTAGTTTCTTTACAAATATTAGTAAAGATTTAGTTTTTCATACACCCTTTTAAGCTCTCGTGTTATCACGGGTCTTAACTTGAAATTTTTGAGTTTCTGAAGTTGTGGTTTCTGGAACTTGAAGTTATGTTTGGAAAAAAATTGAAGTTTTGTGAATGGAAGTCACAAAAATCCAAAAACTGGTTGGACTTAGTTTTCCGGAACTGGAAACTATTTGAAGATCAAAATCTCATCAAGTTCATGGTCAAATAGATATTTGGAGATACATTTTCAAAATTTACTCCCAAAATCTATGGCCAAATGCTAGCTTATATCTTTACATATATTATGCACTGCTTTATTATGATTTGGTATTTGAAGGTACCACTTAGCTTCATCTTTATCCACCCTCGAGAGATTCTTCTTCTTACTCTAATTCTTCCTGTTTATTGTTGTTGTGTATTTATCTGTTTATTTTTTGTATGATCTGAGTTAATTTGGGGAATTCCTTCATGTTATGTCAAACTCAACCCCTATGATACAAACTAGTTCGGGTTGAGTATATGAGTTGTTTGTATTTGGAGGATTTAAATGGTTTCTTTGGCTATTTTTTATGTTGGCTGTCCATCTAACGCAACCCTCCTTGCAATTGGGTCCAGCTACACTTTACATATAAGTGGAGTTGTGTTGAATGTATAAACATTACCTCTTACTCTTTGAATAAAATACATAAAATGTTTCTCCATTCGTAATGGGGCCTTATCGTTATTTCCTTCTCTCTTTTACAGATGAATGAAATAAAAATCTCATTTAAAAACTTGGTTTTAGAGAGGGAACTTAGAGGATGTTTGAGTTAAGCACCTTTTTTTGTTTATTTGGGTGTTTGGTGAACACCAAACGTGCTTAGTCCAAGTGCTTTTTAGATAAAAACAAACCAAAAGCTATAAGCTGGGCAACCCCTTGTGTTTTTTTAGCTTAAAAGCTATTTTAGTTTGACCAAACATTTTACTTTTTTATCCTCTACACTTCTCTCTATCTCTCGAAAGCCCCTTCATAACAAACATCCTTAACTTTTGATTTTCCTTAGCTTCTCCTTTCATCCGCTAATTTTGCCTTCCATCTCTGCAGCTCAAGCCTACTGACTTATCTGTTCTGGGGTAAGTTTAAAATGTTAGCTTCAATTTCTAATTGCTTAACTCCGTGTTATTATTCTTTTCCTCTTTCTAGAATTTGATTTTTGGACGTCTTCTGGAGCATCTGCTACCAGCTCGAGATGGAAATGACACTTATATTATTGATCTGTCTAACATATAAAATTATGCACCTTTGCTTTAGGTGCCAATTAACTAGTGAAATAAAAAAACGTACATTTCAGAGTTGGTTGAACTACTAATCAGTCTCTCACATGATGTATTTGAATGCTGATATTGATATATACATAATAAATTACCCTGCAGAGTATGGAACACATCATGGGTTGGGAAGGATTGGCGATGGTATCCGTATCTGTAAGTTCAATTCTTTATCTTTCTTCATTAAGTATCCATTAAGTTCAAATCAAGTTTCCCTCTGTCCAATATCAACTAGAAACCCCATTCACAAGTATACCACCAGTCAATTGTTCTGCTCTCAAATGTCTGCGCGTGGTAAACCATATTTGGTATCTGCACAGGGGCAAACATTAATCCTGATCTTTTGTTGGCGGTTTTCCTTCCTGCTCTTCTTTTCGAGAGTGCTTTCTCAATG